CAGGAGGGTCAGAGACACTCATTGGAGATGTGATGATGGAAGCAGAGGTTGGGGTGATACAAGGAAGGGGCCAGGAGCCAGGGCATGGAGGTGACCTCCAGAAGCTGGGTAAGGCAGGGAAAGAGGCTGTCCCAGAGCCTCCAGAAGGAATGCAGCTCTGCCAACATCTTGATTTTTAGACTTTGGACCTGCAGAATTGTATGATGGTACATTTGTGTTGTCGGTTTGTGCTAATGTGTGTATTAATGTAATGTAATGTAATGTAATGTAATGTGCAGCAGCAATAGGAAGTTAGTACATGTGGAAATCTAATCATTTTCCTATAATAAATGCAGTTGTCTCTCCATCAACATCCTATTTTTAAGTGGAACTTCTCAGGATGATTCTAAATTGAATCTGGAACAGAGAGAGCCATGAAATTGAGAAACTTGCCCCCCAAGTAACATTTGTTATTCTTGATGTCAAAATGTATCTCAGATCTGCATCATGATTTAACAGGTGTGATGTCACCATAGCAACAGGCCAAGACCAGTGGGGTGGGGGCAAGGTTGGAAATGAACAGAGGGGGCCGCCGGAGGAACGCTCTCTGTGGACGGGACCTTCCAGCAGAGAACTGACCCTTGAGAAATAGCAAAGATCTGAGGACAGGGGGTTCTTGGCTGACTGCACAATGAGGGATTGGTTGGGTGTGTTTTAGGAAGAGCAAGGGAACCCTCCATCTGGTAGGGGAGAGTGTGGGAAGGGACAGAAAGTTCTAGAAGCCTTGATACCATGGGTATAAATCAGCGTTTCTTCATTATCTGCCTTCTGGTTTCTTCTTGAAGGCTCAGCGTTACTCACCTGCCTGGGGAGGGAGCTATGAATTTGTGAAATTACCATGTCATTGATCCATGGTTTGGTCTCTCTGAACTTCCAGGAGAGCTTGGAGGAGGCTGATCCGAGGCTTGGGTGGGGATGTGGGTGTCCTCCGTGGAGATCTGCCCTTTTGTCCATCCCCAGCTGGACAGGCCTTTCGGAGGCATTAGCATCCTCCGGGAACCGCCCCAGGTGCAGGTGCTGGCCACCTGGGAGCACTGTTTCCAGTCCTCGCGTTCCCTGCAGCAGTGCCGCTCCGTGCTGGCTCTCGTCTGCGCTGAGTTCATTCCTGGGTGGGTTTGGTTCACTGGGACGGTGGCTTTTCTTCCTCCTCAGCCCTTCAGAGCAGGGCTTCTTGGTCTGGGCTGCACACTTAGAGCTTTAGACAAATTCCCAGGCACTTAATTGCCATGGGATGCAGGTAGATTATTTTTATAAGTTTCCAGGTGACCCCCATGTGAAGACATGGTTGAACCCCACAGGTTTAGATGGTGTAAGATCGAGAAGACTTGGCAAGAACTCCACATGTGGGCCAGATCACTAGATTCTTCTTTGTAGTCTATAAACTGAGGAAGGTGTGACTTCAGGGATGAGGGGTCAATCTGGTTGAGAAGGAAAGGGGATACGGATAAACTGGGCCCCCCAGGCTCAGAGGAGACCAGTGGAAGGCTTAACGCCAGGATCTCAGCAAGGCTGCGGGTGGCGGCCAGCACCCTGGGAAGGATGCTTTCCATGGAGTGGCCCCCCTCCCCTTTGCCGGCCACCTCCACCTGCTTTTACCTGGCTTGTTCACCTGGTCTCACCTGCCCACCCCTCTGCAGGGGGCATTTCCTGACCCCAGAACTACATTTGTAATGTTGTGCAGCCATCACTTCTCTCTAGTTGTAGACAGTTCCATCACCCCAGAGGGAGACCCCAAACCCACAAAGAGTTACTCCATAATTTCTCCTCCTCCAAGCCTCTGGCAACTACAGAACACTAATTTGTTTTCTGTCTCTGAATTTACCCATTCTGGATATTTCATATAAACAGATCCAGCCAAAAAAAAAAAAAAACCAGATCCAGCCAAGAGCGGTGCGATGATTAAATCAGCTCAATCCCAGCACACGTGGGCTTCTTCAGTCCTCATTAGCCAGTATTGCTGAAGCATCGAAAACGGAAATACTGGCACCGTCGCTAAATTAGGCCTAATTCTGACTCGAGGAGGTGGTTTCACAGCGCCCCACCCGATGGGGTGGGGCTGACACCACGTTCTCTGTGCCCATGCGGAGGGCAGACCGTTCTGTGTTCTGTGTTTCTCCAAAGGGCGCCTTCCTGGGGGAGGGGAGTGGGACACAGAGACTCAGTCTAAACCACTGTCAACTTGTCCATCAAGGGTATAGGAGAAGCTGTTGACGGAACAGTGGGGAAGAATTCCACGTTTCCATTTGATGTTAAAAAAAAAAGATGTTCTTAAAAAGAAGTTAACACTGAGGGTCTATGTTTAGAGCAACTGGACAGTCCTGAACTGTCCCCAGGTTCCCTTCTAAGTTGTACAAAAGGAACCATCTCCTTAACCTTCTCCTCTGAGTGCTTCCCTCTGTTTCTTCCCTCTCTAGACAAATGTTTTTTTCCATGTTGAAGAAGATCCCTCTGTATCTTTCAAACTGTGTAAGTGACCAGCGGAGATGCCCTGAGCTGATGTATGCACATGCCCCCAAAATGCAGGGAGGTGGTGGCAGAACGACATTTAAGCCAGTCCCCCCAAACGGATGACATAAAAGCCAGCCGCAACCGCGCTGTCCTGGCCCTCAGGACCCCTAGGCCTGTCCTTTTAGATTTTTGCTCATCGGCTCGGAGACCTAGGCCCTCACATTTTTACCTTTACACCAAGCTGTTGCCTGTGTCTCCTGGGAAGCCACGGTTTGTCAGAGGACTTTGGAAAACACTGTCATCCGTGTAGGGATGAGAGAATTTTAATTAAACGTTTGCCGAGAAGAAGAGATCATGGTGACTTTCATCTGAGATGTCACTTGCTGTTTTAAGTTACAGTTTGATGGCGATTTTATACACCCTACTGTGCATTTAGTGTTACGAGATCTGAATAAAACATTTGAGTCTTAAGCAGCTAGCAAGCGCTGGGGCTCTGGCCAGAATGCAGTGAAGCCACGTGCTGGAGGTCACCTGGGCAGCCTAGATTATGCCAAAGTCACTGCTTCAGACGGTCAAATCCAATTTCACTTTGTTTTCAAAGCTGCAGGGCCAAGGTCAGGGGCCTCGGGAATTCTGGTCTCCCCGGGCTGAGCTTGTGCGGTGAGTGAACGGCCCCGAAAGTCCAGAATGTCCCCGTGCTTGATTCAGCCTCTTTTCAGAGGTTTGTCATTGCGATTACAGTTACCTTCCAGCTTTGCGTCATCGGTGAGAATTCTCTTTATCACTTAATTCGGATCCTGGAGGAAGGGGTTGGCAAGGGGAGAATCAAGATAGAACCTAATGATGTTGCTCATAATAATCAGAAATTGAAATCAGTAATAATTAGTGATACCTCTCTCGACAGATACCTCTCCACTCTCTCTCGTAAAGAAAAACTGTCCCTTCGTCTTGAAATTCCCAACCTCCCACCTCCTGCCACCCAACAGCTGGGAGCCGTCCCCCATGCGGTGAAACTTACCCCCCAGATCCACTAGAAATCCTGTAATTTTTTATCCCATTAAAGCAGTCATAAGAGATAAATGCCACTGTTCAATTGTTCACTTCATTAAAAAAGAAAGGAAAAAATAAAAAAGAATAGGGACCCACCAGAACTCAGGCCAAAAAGATTCAGAATGTGAATCTACAGTCATTTTTCAGCTGGCTTTATTATCTTAGCTTTGTCTGCAGGGAGCGTATCTCCTGATGAGTGATTTGTCTTTTCTGTCCAGCCTGAGTTTTGTTTTTGTTTTTCTGTATTACGGAATTTTTAGCGTGCATGTTTATTTTGATAGAGAGGAGCCCCTCGGCCCCTGACCTGCACACACACACACACGCCCCACTCCCCCACTGTCTGTCTCACTTCCTCTTGTTTCCCACGGCCTGTGTCACCAGCTGAGGTCTCCTGCCCAAGGGTGAACTGGGACCCCCCCTCCATTCCAGGGCAGCGTTTCCAGCCCGACTTACTGTGCATTTCAGGGACTTTTAAGCCCTGCTCCCCGCTGACGAGTTCTGGGTGGCTTCTGAGTGCGGTGGGACGGAGCCTCCAGCAGCCCTCAGCCTGATTCTTTTTGTTCTGTTCAGGTCGTTTTTGACAATGCCCCTGGTCACACGCTTTCTCATTCCACTTTCCTAATTGTGGCTTTGTGCTCGATGGTGTGGTGGGAGGGAGAGTGGAGCTTCCTGAGCGCGAGTTTACATCCTAAATTAGCGAGGTTAGCGTAGATGTAGTGCTTGCAAAGAGAAGTAAAGTTGATCCTCCTGACTGGCAGAGTCCATCTTTGCACGTTTGCTGACCACCTAAAATGTATTTGTGACCCCCAGATCAACCCTCAAGGCACCCTTGTGGTCATTCCCAGGCATTCTCAGAGCAGAGAAAATTTGGAATTGCCCCATGCACACGTTCCCAGCTGAGCTTGAAAGAGGAGCCACTGCCTAATGTCTCAACTCATACTGTAGACACATGTCTTCTTTGTGGTCTGTTTGGTCCCCTGTTTTTTTGCATTTTGGGGCTTTTTGTGGGTCATCTGCCATTAAAAATGCCCCCAGTGCTGAAGTGCTGTCCGGTGTCCTGAGCGCAAGGAGGCTGTGAGGTGCCTCCTGGAGACAGCGTGTGTGTTCGTGCTGCTGGCCGTGAGCTCAGCATGAATGAATCAACAATGTGCAGTACATAAGGTGTCTTTAAACAGAAACACAGTAAAGCAAAGTTAGCTACTGGGTCTGCTGATGAGAACGCAGCGATCAGAGGCTCACAGGAGCCTAAGCCTGTGTTTCCCCCCCGGGAGCAGTGGTTCTGTGTCTGCTCACTCAGTGTTCTCAGGAACATTCCAGAACATACCCCCCCCATAACAGGTCTGGGCCACACCTGCGTCAGAGAACAGCAGAGCCTGCCCTGAGCGGCCCCTGGGAGGAGCCCCCGGCAGCCGTTCCCGCCAGCCCCCCCTGAAGCCGGCTCTTCGCCCTGTTCCCCACTGCAGGGTACTATCTGAATTTCCTGGAGCCGGTCAACAACATCACCATCGTCCAGGGCCAGACGGCCATCCTGCACTGCAAGGTGGCCGGAAACCCGCCGCCCAGCGTGCGGTGGCTGAAGAACGACGCGCCCGTCGTGCAGGAGCCCCGGCGCGTCATCATCCGCAAGACGGAGTACGGCTCCCGGCTGCGCATCCAGGACCTGGACACCACGGACACCGGCTACTACCAGTGCGTGGCCACCAACGGGGTGAAGACCATCACCGCCACCGGCGTCCTGTTCGTGCGGCTCGGTGCGTGGGGACGGGCCTCGCCGAAGCCGCAGCCACCGAGCAGGAGGGTCACTGGGTGTGCGCAAGCCGCGCACCCAAGCCGGCCGAGAGGCGGCCAGGGGAACCCTTCCCCCGCAGGCCTTTCCCGTTGTGCACGGGTCCCGGCTGAACCTGTTACCCGTTTACTAGTCGTGAAAGAAAACAGACGCGGATGGAGGGGTCTGTAAACGTGGGGTGCAGAAAATAATCCCAGACTGGCTGCGTGTCGGGGGGTCGCCGCCCTCCCCCTCCTTCCACCGCACTGCAGGGCCAGAGCCACCCACACGGGCACCCCCCGCCCCGCCCAGGGGGAGGGCAGGGGCCAGAGCCTGATGACAGCTCTGTGCCCTCGTGCTCGTCGCAGGTGAAGCAGTTAAACAGACTATGTATACCTGTCATCCCAGCTCCGAGGAGGTCCCCACTATGCCCCGGCCATTCTGTCACCAGTTAGCGACACATCTTGTGAATCAAGTTTAGATGAGAAGAGAGGGAGAAAAGACAGCAAAAGCTCTGAAAATATCTCCAAACGTTTCTGCATGAACAGAGCAGCCCTCCCCTCCTCGGTGGTTTTCGCCATCCGTGGCGTGTAATCTTGGGTAGAGCCAGAGGCCGAGGACACTCACCACAAATGAGCACCCAGGGCTGTGGTCGCCTTTACCACTGGCTGGATTGGAAAAAAAAATTTATTCCAAATCCTGAAGTATTAATAACTTGTCTTTTTTTTTTCCTTTTAGGTCCAACACACAGCCCAAATCATAACTTTCAGTAAGTATCTGCTTTCCTCAAACCATTTTCTCATCTCTGTGGGCTTCCGTTATGTAAGAATCCAGGCTTTAACCCGGCAAACACATGTGTTTGGTGAATTTGCTGGAAGTTGGCTGGACTTCACACAAGGATGGCAATGTGCTTGCTTTTGGCTGGGAAACTGTTAGGAACCAATGTCGTAAAAACAAACATTGCTTTAGTTCCTTTCAGCGATCGCGACCTTACAGGCAGCTGGAGGCCGTGGAAGCGCACAGATCGGGGACCCGCCAGGACGCTGGTGTCCCAAGCACATTTGGAAACGGGGAGCAGCACCACCCGTAACCACACTGCCAGCTGTGGTCTATGAGATGTGTGCCCATCAGGCCTCGGGGCCCCCTCCACCGTAGGCGGGGTCTCAGACCCACTTCAGAGACGTGGAGACTGAGGCTCAGAGCCTGGTTCCTGGGTCTTCACTGAGCCATGGGTGTGTTCTGGCTGTGAACTCGGGCCTCTCATTGCTGTTTCTGGTGCCAGGTCTTTTCTCCTCTGGACCTCACCCGTCACGTCACCATGTGCAGGAGAATCACTCTTCCCAGTCCCTGAGCTTAGCAGCGGCTCTTGGATTCTTCGTTCCCTGTGCAAGCACATCGGAGAGCCGCGGCTTCACCCCCGAGGGTTCTGAGCAGTTGCCCAGACGCTGTGTCTGTTAGCCAAGCGCTTATTCGTGTCCCCCTGCCGCCTTGCAAACACTGGCCATTGGGGTGAGGGGCGGCCAGGGACCCCTCTTAGCTCATTACAGCAGGTGCCACTCGCGGAAGACAGATTTTTTTTTTTTTAGAACATTCTGGGCTGAGCAGTAGTGCCAAAGCATTTCTCCTTAATAATCATTCATAGAGTGAGGAAAGAAAATTTTGCATCATGGGCACATCTAGGAAGCCTTGGAAAAGATATGTTATTTCGAAAGTTGAATTCTTATTCAATTTCCCTTTATATTTATATCTTACGTAGTCTATTTATATAAATGTTATATACTATGAACATATGTTTAAAACATGCACATAATTTATATGTAATTATAATGCAATTTGTTGAATAAATGTGAAATATATTTACGGACTTAAATTTTATATAAAAATTTTAAAATATTTTTACATTTATTTTCTTCTCATTTTAAATTACGGATCAAATCAACGCAATCCTGTAAATAACTCGGGCAGTCCCGGGAAAGTGAAGACTCACCCACCTGCGCCCCTGGGATGCCTCCCTCATCTCATCTCGTGGGCGTGCCGGGCCAGGGCTGTTCTCTACACATGTGCACCCAGAGAGACACAGCGCCTCACCTTTATTCGCTTTTTTACATAAATTCTATTGTGTTTGACATGTTTAACTAACAGATTGCCGGGTATTTTCAGTTTCCCGATGGGTGTTCTCAGTCTCTCTGTCTGGTGGAATTTCTGTTGTTTCCCACGTCCACCCTGTTTGTGTCCCGAGACCGGTGAGCAGCTTCCCCAGGGGAGATTCTGAAGCATAGAACACAGGGATACAGGATGCGCCCCTGTCAGGGGTGTGCGCGCCGGTCACTTCCCTGCCACGGCATGAGGACCTGTTTCTCCTTATCTTCCAAGATGAGCTCCAGATCTGGTCATTTCTGCTGCTCTGAAGGCGGAAAACTGTTACCATCGGCGTTGCTCTTCCTTCCCCGTCACCAGAAGGGTTTGCCCCGTGATGGGTGCTTCTTGACTGATGGTTCCTCTTTGTCAGCTGGGATTTTATTGTCTTTGCTCATGACTCTTACATTGTTTGTTTCTTTTACAAAAATTATTTTATTTTACTGAAGTATAGTCAGTTTACAGTGTTGTGTCAATTTCTGTTTCTTAATGACTTTCTAATGATTATATCTTATTTCTTGATCATGTAGAAATTAAAATTTTTCTGTCATTTGTCAGTAATTACCAGTAATGATACGGGTATTCATATTGTATCTTGTTAAAGAGCACACTGATCCCCTTGAAAAATTCTGATGGTGTTTTGACTAAGAAGTACAATGAATTTTCCGATAAATTTGGTGAAAATTGATACCTAAATCGAATTGTCCTATCAAGGACCACTTTCCTTGTGTTTTAAGGTATTCTTTTTTCCCCCTAACATTTTATTATGAAAATTTCAAACACGTGGAAGAGCAGAAAGAATTTTAGAGTGGATGTCCCGTCCGCATCCCTGCCCACGAGACTCTTCCTTTACGTTGTACTTCGCTCCTCTGTCTTTCCATCCGTCTCCATTCATCAGCCCATCTTATTTTTCTGATTCATTTCACAGTAAGTTGCAGGCGTTGGCACGCTAACCCTGACATAGTCTGCGTATCATTATGAGACATGACGTCGTCTGGAAATATTATGGACATCATTAACAAGAGTTCAGTGTCTGTGTGCTTCACTATTCTTCTTTCTGTTAAAACTTACGTACAATGAAATGCACAGATCTTAAGTATTCCACTAATGAAGTCCAGCAAACGCAAAAACGTCTGGCATCTAAATGCTTTTCTAGGGACAGAACGCTCCTCTCACTCTGGAAACTTCCATCAGGCTTCCTGGGCACTTCCCCTCCTCCCCAGGCAACCACCGTTCTGATTTTTTCCTGCCACAGGTTAGTGTTCCGTAGTGTTTTAGAACTCCATAGGTATGGAGTCCTAGAGCATCTGGCTATTTATGCCTGGCCTCCTTCGCTTGACGTGATGCTCTCCAGAGGCATCCGTGCTGTCCGCGCATCTTGCCCAGTAGGGTTCCACTGTGTGACCTGATCGGTTGATGTATCCGCTTTCCCGCTGATGGGGTACCGAAGCAGATGGCGTCTTTTGACAGATATGAACCAGCTGCTCTGGAGAGTCTCATTCAAGTCTTTCGTGGACATACATTTTTGTTTCTGTTAAGTAAATACCTAGAGACAAAGTGCTAGCTTATCAGCTGTGTGTGTGCTGACCTTGTCCTAAGGGGGTTGTACCACCTTTTACTCCCGCTGGCAGACAGGAGCGTGCTGGGTGCTGTGTTGTTCATCGACATTTGTTCTGGTTGGTCTTTCTGGGTTGCACTGTGCTGGTGGGTACGTAGTGGTTCTTGAAGAAGCAATTTTTATCAGTCGTCTTAAATTTTCACACAAATACGTTTAAGACAATGAAGTCACCTCTGGATACAATTTTGGCTGCATCTTTTCCCCCTCCAGGCACATAAGCTTTTATTGTTTGTTATTTTCTGATTTTTGTTGCATTGTTGTCAGTGAATTTGGGATGTGTTTTACATTTGGTAATTGGTTGAGATTTTCTTTGTGGCCAATTAGATATGGTACATTTGGGGGAATATTTCCTGTTGTTACAAAAAATAAGTGCTCTGATGGTGGCCTTTATACAACATCTCAATTTAAATGTTAAATCACGTATGTTAATTGTGTCATTAAAAATGTCTGTGTTTTTTGTTCACATTGGTTACAGATATCTGAAAATATGTAAAAGTCATCCATTCTCTTTCTGGATTGGCCAATTTCTATCAGTTTTCTATTTTTAAATTTTTATGCATGTTCTTAAATACCTACAACTTTGAAGCTATGTCGTTTTTGTTTTGTTTTTAAGACTCCTTTAATGCTTTTCGTCTTGAATTTGATTTTGCCTAGTGATAATATTGCTCCACCTACTTTCTTTTTTAAAATTTTATTTTATTGAGTTATAGTCAGTTTATAATGCTGTGTCAATTCCCAGTGTAGAGCACAGTTTTTCAGTTATACATGAACATACATGCATTCATTGTCGCATTCTTTTTCTCTGTGAGCTACCACAAGATCTTGAATATATTTCCCTGTGCTATACAGTACAATCTTGTTTATCTATTCTATATATACCTGTCAGTATCTGCAGATTGCGGACTCCCAGCCTGCCCCTTCCCACATTTGCTGGGAACCTCTTTTGCTATTCCTGTCCCACTTTCCCAACCATTTTGTGTTCTGGTTTATGTAGGTCTCATGTAAATAGCATCTGAGTTCACTTTTTGGAGGTGGCTGAGAATTGTTTCCTAATCTAGAAGTCCAGGTTGATCCACGTAGGCTAAATTCATTTTAATAAATAAACAAAATTCCATTCTGCGCGCCAGTCTCACTTTAATCATCCACGTGTCTACTCAGTGAAGGTTAGTTGTATTCACTGATGCAGACCATCTTATGTGAGCACCTGTCCAAGTCTCCTGGTCCCTGTGGGCAGGAGTCCTCCAGCAGTAGACATCTGGGAGTGAAACTGCAGGTGTGTACCTCCCACCTCTCCCAGGTGTGGCCAGATTGCCCTTCAAAGTGACAAAGGACTTCACATCCCACCAGCAAAGCACAAGTTCTTATTTCTCCATATTTTCCAGCTCGTGGTATTACTCAGAATTCAAAGTTTTGCCAACGCCTTGGGTGTTAATAGTAATTTATACTAATTTTACATTAGATTTCACCAGTAAATAATGCAGTTGGACATAATCCATGTTGGTTAATAACCGCTGGATTGCTCGTTCATATGTAGGCTGTATTTATTTGTAGGTTTACTACTTGCATATTTTCTTACTTGCTAAAACTTCTTTGTAGCTCCAAAATCAGTCAGTACTCAGGATGCTTTCTTGGTCACTGCTGGATGCATGCAGAGCAGTGAATGTTTTTGAGTTGCCCAGTGCACAAGTTCCCAGCTGAGGTCTGCCGTCTTGTTCCAGCTCTCCTGCTGCGCATGAGTCCTTTTCTTGGTCTGCTTACACTTTGTGCTCTTTGTTGGTGACGCTGCTGTTTAGAATGGTCCCATGCACAGTGCTGAAGCGCTGTCTTGTGTTCCTAAGCACTGGAAGGCTGGATGTGCCTTACAGGAGACATTCATTAGCTAAGCGTCATTCAGGCATGAGTTACTGTGCTGCCGGCCATGAGCTCATTACTAGTGAGTCATCAACCCACGTGAAGTAAGACGTCTTTAGACAGAAACACACATGAGACAAAGTTAAGTATTGATTGGTTGATGA